AAAAAAAAAAAAAAAAAAAAACCGAAAAAGGGTAAAGGGTAAACGAACTCCGTGAAATTCACTATAATACACCAGCGGCCCGCGATGATCATCGTCGTCGCTGAATTGTCCCGCAACGCGCGAGAATGAAATCGTCAAAGAACCGTCCAACTGACTAACGAGAATGAAAGGTCGTCAGCTTCGGTGTAGGTGGGTGGTGTCGGTGAGTCGTGATGGACTTAATTAAGAACGATGATGGTTAGGGGGATGGGGGCGGGGGAAGGAGGATACTAGAGGATCGGTGAATAGAACGATTGGAGGGGTTGATTAAGGCCGGATGGACGTGGAAATGTGCCGTCCGACGTCGCCCACTACGCTCTCGAGACTCTGTGTCGGCGCGTGCGCGTCCATCGAATCCTCGCTACTCGCCAGTACGGTGATCTCTTCCGGTCCTGGGTGCAAGGACGCCGGGATCGATGGTCGAACCTCGACGGCATTGTCCGCGTACCTTCGTCTCCTGGAGGAGCTGGCCATGTCGCCGACTTTCACGGTGCTCAAAACGGTGCTGAACTCGCCGGGCCTACGGCCAGAGACGAACAACGTCACCACGCTGGACTCCTCTTTAGCGGGGTTAGAGTGGTTCTCTTTTTTGTCGTTCGATTTGCCACGACTGTTCCGCGGCCGGCTGGACGACTTCTTGTACTCCTGGACATCGTCATCCTCCTCGGAGTACTCGTAGCTGTCTTGCTTGTAATCGGAATCAGCCGGCTGATGGCGGCTCTCGACCTCGCCGGGCAAAGTGTTGCTCTGGGTGAACGGAGGTGCGGCGAACAGAGGATCCAGCAGGGGATTGGGATTCTTGGCAGGCTGCTGAGGTTGCTGCAGCAGTAGCAGTAGAGAGTTCAGATTGGCCGCTGGCAGAGCCGCGGTGGGCGTCACGACGACCGTGTCGGTGATGAACTCTGTCGCAGTGACGACGTTCGTCGAGGTGTCCACCAAGGTGGTCAGGATCTCCTTGCCGCGGAATGTGAGCGGGATCACGGTGCTTTGTTCTTTCGTGATCGTGGTGACGTACGAGGTGGTTCGCGTGTTGTACTGTGTGGACGGTGTACCCTGGGGTTGCAACAGAGGGTTAGCCTGACCTAACTGACCGAGAAGCAGCTGAGACAGTAGGATGTTCGCGAGGGGTGCGTTTCCGGACAGAGAAGGCTGTATGGTGGAGACTACGTTCTCCACGGAGTAGACGGTCGTGGGTACGATAACCGACTGGGAGGCTCTACGGCCGCCTAAGGTGGTCAGCGTATGGGAGACTCGTGTGGTGGGCGTCTCGTGAAGCAGGAACCTAGTGACCTCTGTTTGACCTTGAAGGTTAGTGCCGGTTACCTCGCTAACGATCACTACCAGCTGCCTACCGTCCCCACCTGTCACGGTACTATACTGAGAGGGGGCTAGGACCTCGGTTCGCGGCTGGGCGGTAATGATGCTCCGATGCTCGGTGATCCCGTTATTTACCACGGGAATCGTCACCTCGGTCGGGACATAGTGGGTCACCGTGATCGTTCCGTCAACGTCGGGGTAAACGGTGGGCGATTCTCTAATATCTTCGAAGGAACCCCTGGAACGCGACGATGTTCTCCTACTACCGTTTCGACTGGACGACCTTGAGGGCGTGCGAGAGGTGGACACTCGTCTCGAACCGGAGGACTCGGTGGATTTGTTCGAGCCGCTTCTCAACCTCGGAGGTCTTACTCTGTCAGAGTTGCTCGACGTCCTACCGTTGTTTCTGGACCCTGAAGAGTTAGGTCTTTTATAGTTCGATCTGCTCGAGCCTGTTCCGTCTTTCTCTCTTAGAGTGAACTGCCTACCGTTACTGGACGTGGGGGATGGTTTTATTCTAGTTGTAAGGCTCCGCTCACCGTTCGGCTTCGTTCTAGGCCTAGCCTTGCTCTGATTCAACTCTGTCGACTCCGCGGACGATTTTTCCGGATTGTTTACTGTTTTCGGTGGCGGACGAGACGTCGTCATTGTCCTGCCGCGATTGTTGTAACGGGCAATAGGTTTCGAAACGGTTTTTCCTACGTTCTCTTCCTTGGTGGTCGCTGCCTCGCTTACGTCGGCTTTATCATCCGGCTTCGAACCAAGTCGACGGAAACGGCTCGAATACGTCCTCAACTGGCTCGCTTGCCGACGCGTTCTTCGTCCTCTCGTGAAGGGTCGAATTTGCACATTTCCAGAGAGGGATTTTCCGGAGCGTCGATTCACATTCGTCGTTTTATCCTCGTGTTCCGATCCTTCGTAATCGTTATCGGATATCTCTTCCACGGGCTCATCTTCGAAATTCTCCTCTCCCTCGCCTTCCAAGTCTTCGTTCGGTTCTATCTGCTCCTCGGTGGGTAGCTCTTGTTTCTTTCCAAGTAATCCTCTAGGTGGGAAGAGGCCTGTGCTACCCTGTCGCGGTCTAGTCGATATTGGAACGGTCCTGCCGTTAGTTCGAGTGTTCGTCACTCTAGGTACAGTTGGTGAAGTGGGCCTACTGAGATTGCCATTCCTCCTTGTGGTCGTCGGTGGTCTGGGAGTGGTACCTGTCCTGCCAGAATTGTTCAAACTGATCGGTCTACGGAATCTCAGCAGTGGATTCGTGGATCTTCTTGGGGACTCCGTGGTAGTCTGAAGTGGGGTCGTCACCGTCTCACCTCCATCGAAATCCTCTGTATACGGAGTCTCTTCCGTCACCAGGGTAGTTGTGGTGAACTCGTTAGCATCGTTCTCTTGATCATCGTGTCTGACTGTTGACTGTCCTCTCAGTAAAGTCGACGATGGTCGAATGGGTGATCTGAATCTGGTGGAGGCTCCAGGGTAAGCAGAACTGGATCCACGGGTCGCAGCTCTGGCTGAGGAACCTCTGATCGATGTTGGTCCTCGTCTGTTCCCTTGGAAGACTGACGAAGGAGATATCCTAGACTGTCCTCTGTTTCGAGTGCTTCCTGCTGTGGCAGACGTGTAAGAGCTGGCTGTGCTTGAGGATACTCTTCTTCCGTTGAACCGTCTAGACCCTGATGGAGTCAAGGTCGAGGAGTATGGACCAATAGGGGAACTCACTCGACCCCTAGACGAGGCGAATCTATTACCTTTGCCAGCCAAAGTTGCCGTTATGGTAGGTGTTATGTCTGTCCTGGTAATCGTGGTTGCACCCTGTGCACCCTTACGCTTAGGATTAAACGTTGGCCTGTTCCTGGAAGCGAAAGGTCTAATCGCTGGTGTGAACGACCTCTTCCTAGTAGAGAACGTCAATCGAGACTTCTTCTTGGAGCTCAGTCCGTCTTTGCCATCCTCATCGTCTTCTTCGTCCTCTTCGTTTTGCTCAGAGTCCTCGTCCTGATCGGGAGACTCTGTAGTAGGATCTTCTGATAGGGAAGACTGAATCACAGCCGGCGAAGGTGAGATTTCTGGCACGTCCGTTGGTTTAATGGGTGGTTGGGTGGAAGTTGGAGCGATGTTGAGTGTCGGGCTCGCTGACAGGAAGCTCGAAGTGCTTTCAATGATCTGTGCATATCTCCCCTCGATGCTGGTACCAATCACCTTCGACTGATAGTACGTAGTAGTTCCGTTGTTTTCGATTTGACCTTGTATCAATCTCACTAAACCAGTTCGATGACCCTGGGTAGGGGGGATGGTTGCTTTCCTTTCCTCGTCGATTTTGGTACTCGAAGTGCTTTCGATCACCTTCGCATACAAACCATCGAATAAAGTTCCAATTTGTTTCGTAGTGAAGTAAATCGTCGTAAGTTCATCGGCGTCAACGACACTGCCCTTATTGAGCGACAGGAGGCCTGTTGGTAGAACAGGAGTTGTAATAGAGGAAGATGGTAGCGGCGGTGTCTCGATCCTCGTTGAACTTTCCACAACTTGAGCGTATAATCCATCGATGTATGTTCCATGTACATCGGTCATATAGTGAGTAGTGGTTCCGTCATTCACCTGACTGGACCGGACAGTCGAGATCAGACCTATCTTAGGTTGTTCGCTAACTTTGGACGGTGTAACAGGCTTATCCTGAGTAGCCAGGCTCTGTTGGAACACTGGTCCATCGATCGCTCTGCCAGTTGCCACTGGTTGCGTAGCAATCGCTTCAGGAATAGATACACTAGTGACAGTTTCTAATCTACTATTCAATACCGTCTCGTTACCAATATACGAAGTCGTGAAGTACGTGTAAGTAGTGTAATACGTAGTAGGTTCGGGTGATATGGTGGAAGACTTCAAGACTCCGGGTTCGATGGAAGTACCATCCGTAGTACTTGTCTTTGCGACTTTCTCTGGTTTAGAGTTCTCAATTGGAACGATATCCGATGGTGTCACTTCATTATCAGCGGTGATCTTGGACTCTTTATCGCTAACAGAGGAGCTTTCGATGGACTCTGTGGTTGGCCTATAGGTCATGATGACACCAAGCTCTAGAGTAGGCGTCGGCGTTACGCCTGGAGTCATCACGTTACTGACCGTCTCCTCGCGACTTGTTGTGACCGTGTCACCTCCTTTGTAGAAGGTCGTCCAATAAGTGAACGTCGTGAAGTACGTGACCGGAAGGGTACTAGTTTCTTCAGTTACAACAGCAGTCGGTCTGATAGTCTCAGTCGCGACATTGGTAACAGTTTCGAGACGACTTACCACGTTGGACTCGTCGCCCTTGTACATGGTCGTGAAATAAGTGAAGGTTGTGTAGCTCGTTTGGAGAAGAAGGGTGGGTGCTGGTTCTACGTCATGGTGATTCGACTCGGACAACTCTTGATCTTCCGGAACAGCATTTCTCTTGTCCATCAAGTCCAATACAGTACCACCTCCGGAGCTAGAGGAAGAGACCACGTCAGTGATCATTGATCCAAGTACTTCCCCTTCGACAGGGGGGTTGGG